ATACTGGTCTCTCCTGTCAGCTGGTTAAATGCTCAGTGGTAGTGTTATCCAGTTCAGCCTTGGTAATTGGAAGTTCAATTTGGTCCCATGCCTGGCTTCTATCCCTGCCACTGGGGCTACTTTTTGTTAATGAGTCCATTGAGCAAGCCCTTTATCAGCTGGAGAAGAGACTGATATCTGTAGAGTTTATTATTTTGTCCATCTTATTATTAAGAGATTCTTCTATAGTAGATGGATACCTTTTGGTAGATATTCACATAAGAAAGAAATATCTCTGCAATCTGTGGCAAGAGAGGTCCATCCATGTCTTTTCCTCATACTTACTTGTTGCTAACCTTCAATCCTGTTTCTTCCAAGTCCCCAACCATCTAACCAAACCATTGACAATTGTCCATGAGTAAGTATAAATCCATATTTCTGACTATCTTTCACTCCAGACATGGTAGATAACCAAGTATTATATTTGAAGTTCTCCTAGGAGGATTTTTCTTCACCATTGCTCCTACTAAAGCCCCAGAATGAGCCTCTAATGTTATAGCAGTTCACCTTCAGGTAATACCATATTGTATGGATGCACCAGTAAAAGCTGACTTGAGTCATTTTCTTCTTCAGGTATCTCTTCTTAAGTAACACCTTAGGAATCCATAGGCATGAATCAAGAGGCAAAAATCAATAAAAGAAGAGTTGGTCTTAAAGGAATCCATGCACCTTACCTTTACCTTCTAAGATTTTACTGAACTCAGTCTTTCATGTGCCATTTTCATTTGATGACTGATTATCTCCAGCTATGTGGGTAGGTAGTTGGGACAATACCCAGTTCATGATAGGAAGCTTAGACCTCGTGATCACCTAATGTCTCATGATTAGATGTTTAGTTTTTACCAAAGCCCAGCAACAGACAGAAACTGCTTCTTAAAAGAATTGTGACCTGCAAAAAAAGACATACCTTTGTTTCTGAATCCTAGGTATTTGTACTAGTTTCTTATTGGGGCTTCCCAGAAGCTTCATATACATATTAATTCCAGAATTTGTTTGAAGTATACATATGGCAATGAATTTGGCTCTATCTGGTGTTATGTAGTCTGTCCTCCCTTGGTCTAATACCCTTAGAAGCCACTCCCACACATACTCCCCCTAGGTTTCTTCAAAGATGCATATTAGCTGTTTTATAATTCTCTTGGAATGTAAATTTTTCTTTTATAGGTATCTGTCCCCTGGAACTTGCTGAGGTTTAACCCTAGTTATGGGTCTAGTGGCAATAGGAATGTTAGTGTCAGATCTTAAGGAGAATGGGCATCTATTGTCAAGACACTGGCTCAGGTGATGCTATAAGACTGAGGAGGGTTAGTCTCTACAGATAATAGAGTAGGCTTTTTCTGCCTGAAGGAGAGGCTCAATGACATAGGAGTTTGAAATTATCAGTTTCTTTTGAGTCCAACCATATGTCTCCATTTCAAGTTTCAGAATCTTTTTCTTTATCAGTCATTTTCCTATCCTTGACATGAGGGATTTGGTGAGACAGAATTCAGCTATTGTTTGTGATACAGTAAGCCACACAACTAAGTTTTGTAGATGAGTTTCAGTGATATCAGCCCTGTAGCTACAAGAAAACTGCTTTTTAGAGCTATCATGGAAGCTTCTCAGACTGTGAGTTGAGCTGTGATTTAATGAACCTGACCTTGTCATTTTTTTTTTTTAAGCATTCAAGTGATCTTAAAAGAATCTAGCCACATCATAGTCCTTTATATCAACGTTACTGCCACAGTGGTGAACTGTCCAGCCACTTGGACTCCCAAGGGCACATGCTTCACTTGGTACTTCGTCATATTCAACCTTGGTTAATTGTGATGTGGTCTCAAAAACATATTGCTCTTGGTTATCATATTCTGTCCTGTAGCTTTTCATATTATAAAAACCCAGAGCATGAATTGCCCAAAGTGGCAATCCAATAAAACTTTTCTCATTCAGTTACTCCCATATTCTCCTTTAATGGTTATATTTCATCCTGTTTCTTGTTAGTACTGTATTTTTATGATTTATGTGACCCATTTCTAAGCAGGTTGTTAACTTTTTTTTCTCTTTTCCTTCCTTTTTTTTTTCTTTTTCCAAAGATGGGGTCTCGCCTAGTTGCTCAAGCTGGCCCAGAACTCCTGGGTCAAGTGATCCTTCTGCCAGAGCGTAGTCAGTAGTTAGGATTACAGGCACATCCCACCATACCTGGCAGTATTTAAGGTTTTCATATTACTCTTCTTGCTCTTACTGCTGAATTAAGCCTAGCCTCTAATATTTTTCTTTCTCCATTCTCTATTTTGTTAATCCAAGATGTCAATTCTTATTTACTCCTACTATATTTTTATTGATGAATTGTTCTGGACTCTGTGTGGCACTTGTCTTGCAGCTTTTGAGGCCTCATTTTCTTTCTTTCTTTCTTTCTTTCTTTCTTTTTTCTTTCTTCTTTCTTTCTTTCTTTCTTTTTTTTTTTTTTTGGTAGTGCTGGGGATTGAACCCAGGGCTTTGTGCATGTGAGGCAAGGACTCTACCAACTGAGCTGTATCCCCAGCCCCAGGCCTCATTTTAAAAGACAATGTTTAGTAACATAGTACTCAAGAAAGTGAAAAACCTCTTAGTTGGTATGTGTATTTAATTTAATTAGCAGAATTTCTTTCTTTATAAAGCAAATAGTCTTACATGTAGGCTTTTCCCTCCCCCTCAGAATTCATGTACAGCAAGCCTTCCATTTCTAAATAGGGGTGCCTTATTAAAACTCAAAGTCATTCAGGAAGCATAAAGGCGTAGCAATTGTGTAATGAGTTTATATCCAGGGCTTCAAAGATTCAAAAGGAAGAGACTGTGTATTGCTATATATAAGTGCTAAAAGAGGAATCTCTCAGTGTCTCCAATTCATGTTAAGGAAATTTATTTACTCATATTATTTCTACTTTCAGCCTTTTGGATCATATTAAAATAAGTGCCTAGTATAGGAATTGTTTTCAGGTATATTCATTAGTTTACTGAAATATGTTAGTATTTTAATCCTTTCTAAAAACCTTAAGGCATTTTAGTGTCCCAAGTCTGCATTAATTTAATTTTTAAAAATAAGCAAACTGTACTTAAAGCTAGCAAAATAATATTTTAAAGGATGATGGATGATTCTGTTTCCCTGTGCTCTTTTAATATTTCCTGGCACTCTTTGGTAATATACTATTTACTATCATTTTATACTAGTATATAATAATATTCTGTGCAAGGTCATTGATGTACTCTTAATTTAAATGTCTTTGAAATGTAGGAAGTCCTGGATTAGTAATAGGATATTCTGCACATACAAGCAAATAGAGAAATTTGGGAGGTAGCAAGAGTGTTGACGTTAAAATCATAGGCTTTGAAACTAGACTTCTTAACTTTGAGTCCTGTCTATGATGTATCATATTGAGCAAGTTACTTACCTCCTCTGCTTCAGTTTTCTTATCTATATAATTAGGATATAGTATCTATTTCACTTTGTGGGGATTGAGTTAATAATACTTGTAAAGCGAATTTCTTTCTTTACAAAGCAAATAGTCTTACCCCTCAGTAAACATTAGTTATGATGGTCACCCTTTTTATTATAATGTTCCTCTTCCCCTAAAATGTAACCGCCAGGAAGAGGCAGAAAAATAGAAGGAACCAAGTATATTCATATACTTGTACGTCCTTTCTTTCTGTCTTCTTAGTAGAAAAGTTTGGTTTAAATTTTTTTTTTAGTTCTTCAGATCTAAATATCTTAGGTAGTATTATGTGGAAAAGAACGTGGTGTATAGTCATATCTAAACCCATCACTTCTCTTCATCTTTGCATGTAACCTAGCACTTCTTTGGAGGACAGTCATAAAAACAGTCATCTCTGGTGTACCTTGTGAGATAGATAAAGCTCTGAATCTGGAGGATTTTCCTGTATAGTTTATATCTGCAGTGTAAATATAAATACCAGAATTTTATTCTTCTTCAGATTGTGGTTGCCATAAACTTACTTGAATCATCTCTCTCTCTCTCTCTCTCTCTCTCTCTCTCTCTCTCTCT